AAGAGAGATGAAGCAAGCAATATATACAATCTACAATGAACCTGGTTCAACTTGTATGGTTACATGATGAATTCTGTATGTGGTGTCACAATATTCCCTAACATTCTGAATAATTTCATAATGGTTGACTCCTGGCTCAGTTACAACGTGACAGGACAAAACAATTTTCCCTATAGTGATGGCCCAAACATGTAGGTCATGAACATCTTTTACTCCTGCTAAAGATTTTAGGCCATTCTCGAGTTGAACGATATCAACTTCCTTTGGTGTCCTCTCCATCAATAAGGAAAAGATAGTCTTAAGCATGGGTACAGTAGTACTAAGAGCAAAGATTGAGAAAAAAATAGTACAGAGAAGATCAACCACCAACCATTCTGGTTTGTACCACATAATAGCTCCAGCAATCATCACACCAACAGATTGTATCAAATCAGATATAACATGCAGGTAAGCCCCTTCAATATTTATGTTTGATGGTTTGCTGCAACTATGGCATGATGCTACCAGTTTCGAGCTCTCTTCTTCATTTCTTGGATGCAATTCTTGCATTTCATGATCATGATTGTGATCATGACCGTGACCATGGTCATGATCCTTGCAAGGACTAAATGAATGGCTATGGAGAGAATGATCATGTCCAAGCCACACAACTGAAATGAAGTTTATTATGAGACCAAATGCAGCAATAGCAAACATAAGCTTCCCATTCACTTTGGCGTTAGTATGAAACATTCTCTCAGTTGCTTCATAAATCAAAAAACCAGAGATGAGCCATATCAGCTGTACAGAAATAAGGGCTCCTAAAACTTCAAGTCGGTGATATCCAAAAGAGTGTTCTTTGGTTGCATCCCAGCCAGACACCCAAACAGCAAAAAGCGAAATAGAAAATCCAACAACATCACTAAGCAAGTGAGCTGCATCAGTTAGAACCGCAAGACTGTGGGCTTTCACCCCTCCAATGGTTTCCACTGCCATGACCATAACATAAAAGATTATGAGCCCACAAAGTTTCATACTTGACTTTGACCTTTGTCTTGAATCCAACAGACTGTGCTCTTGCTCTGAGAAGGAGCAGATAGGATTGCAAGAAAAATGAGCACGATTACAGTTGCCATTGCATTTAGCTCCCTGCAACTGCTTCATTTCAGACATGGAATCCTCTTGTTGCTCCATCTGTGTCAATATGGATTATTGTTAGCCAACTGTTCAAATGAATTACAAATGTGTAGAATTGCAGCATTTGAGTTAAAAGTGAATTGACGGGTACACTTCCAACTCCCAAGGCTGCTTCAGTGACATATATCAAGGTGATTGTGGAGTAGAATTGCACCCAGAATTGCATGGATCAGTATACCGTTATAAGATGTCAACAGCAAGAATAAGGAAACAAAACAGTAGATGGTAATACCTAGTTAATTTGTAAGTCAACCCAATGAGCTGTAAATCTAAACAGTTAGTCCTAGTTTGAAATGTACTCAAGAAAAGTTAATGCAGCATAATGGTCTGTACACTTCATTCTATAGGTTCTATGGTATACATACATGTTTCACCAACATTTTTGAAGTGTGTCCTACATCATTATTAAGCTTGTAATATCTAAATTCACATCAATATCAGATTCACATCATGCACCCAAGGATATGGCGTAGAGGTCTCAGTAGAAGACAAAACACTAGATAATTCTCCCTTATCTATTCTAGCCTTGGTGGGATATGATCTCACGGTAAGCAAAAAAATAAATATCAGATTCACATGGCTCCCAATTTGAACTGAAATCAGCCATCATAAAACTGATATTGAAGGAGTCAAAATGCTCTCAACTCTAACTTGTTTAAAAGTCTTTCAATCAGATCTTCAACTCATATTTGATATAACTCATCATTCGAACTCCATTTCTTCTGAAGTTTTATGGCTGTTACACTATTCATTAGTCCCAGAACAGGGGAGTCAAATTTTTTTAAAAAACAAAAATCGTGTTTAATTATAGATACCCAAAAAAAAACATTATTCCAATCACGGGTGAATGTTTGAAACTCCGAATAACCAATACTAAAATTACAGAGAAGAGAAACAACAACTAACAAAAAGATGGCAAAAGCAAATTTGCAACGGATTTATAAATTCTTTTTACCTGGATTCAGATGCAATATAAAAGCCGGCAGGGGAAGCTAGGGCTTGTAGCTGTAAAAGAATAAAATGAGAAAAAATTGAATAACCATTGTTGTATATAGGAGTTGCAGAGGCGGAGTCAGAGGCCAATCATTAAGGCGCTGAATGGGCACACCAAATTTGATTCTGACGGAAGAAGAATCAGGGTGGCCGGAAAGGAAAGGTAAGAGGCCACCAACATTTGTTTTTCATTATTCTCAAATTGTTCTGATATATATAATTATTTTTAATTTTCTTTTACTATTTATATAATCTCTCTGTTTTCTCGAGATATTAATACAAATTGATTAAAAAAAATTATATCGAGAAAAAAGCTAAGTCAGAATGAGAGATTTTTCTCCATATATATACATGTTACTCTTATTTAGGTTTTATCCTATGAAATTGAATCGTATGCATATTATTAATATTAATTTTCATCAAACGAATAATTTAAATATTTAATTTTACTTCAAATCTATGAATATAAATTTTAATTAAAAATAACTAAAGATTAATACTACATTCGTATAATTAAAAGATACTTTTTGCATGATGTTAAAAAATTAGATGATGAGTTGATGACACAAATTTAAAGATAGAATATTTTTGGTAGATACTTTATTATCTACATTTACTAAAATGACTTTTTAATTATTTACTGCATCATGGTATACAGTTAATGTAGTCTATTTCTTTTATTTGTTGAAGTTAAATTTATGAAATATAAATTGTGATATGTAGTAATTTTAATTTGGGGCCTCACCATTTTTGTGATCTCAATTGTTTTTAGTTTTATCTGTTTCTCAATTCACAAAATTCTTTTTCTTTTTTAATGGGAGACAGGAAGGGTAAAATAATAATAATATAAAAATATATTTAATGTAACAGAAAAAATAATTTTAATAAATAATATGATAGTTCGATTTTAATATTTTAAAATTTTTATTTTAATAAAAGTATGATACATGATATAATGATGAGTAATAATTTAGTAGATAACAAATTTGATGAATAATGATTATGTCAATCATCACAAGTGACAAACTTAATCGGTAGCAACATAACACTATTTGTTGGTTCAATTAAAATAAAATCTTGTAGTAAAAATATTAAAACGATTTCTATGTTATCTTTTTTATTTATTTCATTTAATTGGTTTATATCAACCTAGTGCTTTTTTGACTTTGAAAAAAAAATCTCATTTTTTCTATCAATTTATTGTTCTTTTATATACGTTTCCATTATAAAAAATGATAGTAATTAAAATTTATTTTTAAAAATAAAAAATTGACTCATGGAACAATGAATTATTTCCGCATTGGGGACTAACATATTTTAATGTCTAATTAGATCAATTCTCTACTAGGGTTTCTAGATTAGAATATTTATTAACTCAACAATGTGATATCAGACATTATATATCTACTGTACGTACTTAATACACATATAATACTTATGGTCATAATAATAGCTATGTACATATACACACTTTATGCATGTATTTACTAATTTTAAATAAAAAATACTTATTTAATTCGATGATAATAATTCTCATTCGATTGATCTATTAATAATTAAGAATTTACCTTGTAGATCTAATAACAATTTTTACATGTTGCTTTTAATCTAACAAGATTCTCAAGCATCATATATTTTTAGCATAAATTACTTTGATATGATTATTAAGAGATTAAAAGTAAATTTATTTTGATTAAGTCATTTGACTACGGGAAGGTGAACTTTGTAAAAGCATTTATTTGATAGGAAAGAATAGGACTTCTGACTCTAAGCCTACCCTATTCAGAATTTTCAGCTATTGATGTTATCCTCTTAGTTCCCAAGGGTGGAGATGATGAGTCGGTCCATGAATTTTCCTTCATTTTCTCTTGTCGCATTTCGCTTAAAGGATTGAAGGGAGATAGTGCATCAAGGTATTCGCAAGGGCTAACTTGATCCTCTTTATCGTAGTATAGTCTTTTAGTGACACGTTTCAATTCTCTTCCCTGTAACTTAGAAAAACTGAGTCACCGATTCAGGTACAATATACTATCATTACCGCCTGGACAATTAGACAACCAATCCGTAATCACAACGAGCTCAATCAAGCATTATATCAAAACTATTCCAATACTTCTCTAATCTTTTCTTTTGTCATACTATTAATTATAAGCAAATATTAATATAGGAATGTTCGACTCGTGACCATTTCTGACCCAATAATATTACACAAAAAAGATATTAATGAAACTATTAGTAGCTACATTTGGCATCAATGCAAGTTATTGCTTAACGCCGGTGATTCCTAAAAAAAGTGATTGAATTCAAAACGTCTCTTTTTAAAGCATGTCTTACCAACAGATCTGCTACACCATTAATTTCCCTATAAGAGTGCTCCACGACAACACTAATTAGCTGGTGGAGGAGCCACCTGCAATCATGTAAAATGTGAGAAAAAGTAACGTAAGTATGTGCAAAAGAGTAATAATATATATCTTGAGCGTCAATCTCAGCTATGAACACGTAATATAACACTCTAGAACAAGTATAAGTCCATTGAAATATGCAAGTAGTTAAGCTATAACGCCATTAATAGCAACACTAGAGTTCATGAATCCTAAAATTCAATGACACACACAATTCTAATCTCAAATATTCAGAGTATTAAAATATTAATGTGAAGCTTTATGTCAATCAAGCAATTGAATACTATCTTATTAAAGTTTTTAAATGAATACTTTAAGGATGATATATTTGTTCAAAATTTGAAAAAATGAAGTAACATTTGATGTCAGAACCAAGCTTTATATATATATATATATATATTGATTTCGACCCGCAAAGTCTCAATTTTTCGATAAAATATTACCCAAACGCCAATTCAAGTGAAAAGGAAACCCTAGATTTTGATTTATAGTAGCAAAATTGACAAAGAGCCACACGAGGGAGGGTCAAGGGCTGCACAAGTTACATCGACTCCGACATCGGAGTTTGCAGCCCTCTCCGCCTCCAAAAATATCTCACTCTTCTTTATCCCACCAATTATTTCACATCATCATCTAACCCCCACCCCCAGATTACCATAAAAATCAAACCTTTATGGATTCTTGGGAAAAACTGTGACCCCATTTTATTGTTTTTCCATTTCAGTATTTTCTTGGCTTTTTAGGTTTTATTTAGGGTATTATTGAGACCCCCAAGTAGGAAAAAAGGAGAAGGAGAAAGGGAGATGGCTCAAAATGGGCAGGGGATAGAACCTGCGGTTCTTGATGACATAATTAACAGGCTATTGGAGTTTAGGAATGCAAGAACTGTTAGACAGGTTCAGCTTTCAGAGGCTGAGATTCGTTCTCTCTGTACTGCTGCAAGAGCAATCTTTCTTCAGCAGCCCAATCTTTTGGAGCTTGAAGCCCCTATCAAGATCTGTGGTAATTTTTTTTTCTTAACCTTCTTGTTTTACTTTGTTGGCACAGATGAATCATTATTACATGCATGTTCATATTTGCATTTGAGTTTGTGAAACCTCTGCTAGTTGTAAGGGTTGAAGACCTTTAAATTGTCTAGTGACTGTTATTCCGCGCGGTTAAATGTGAAAATTAGTTTCTTTGACCTGAATGAAACTTGTGGGGTATTGGCGAGGGTCTTCTCAGTTCTTAGAGCATGTGTGATAGCAGGAGAAGATGAAAAGCTGTTTGTTCATTTTGAATAGTTTTTTTTTCCAAAAAGTTTGAAAGTTTGCCCCCCAAGGCATAGCTCTAGTGGCATAAGGTGGAGGAAGCGAAACCCAGTATTTATGTGGAGAAGGATAGAAGGGTGGGCCCATTATCCACTGATTTTAGAAGGCTGTGATTAGTCCAAAGGGCGGGGTCACTGACAGATTTCTCGGTAATAAAAAAAGTTTTAAAGGTTGATTGCACAGTCGCCCACTATGTAGCTTGTCATTTTAATATAAATACGGGATGTATTTGTAATATGGTATACTCGTGGGATACAGTTGAATAGTGTATCTGCTGTTGGATATCATTGCTATGATATGTCACATGACAGAGCCCTGCTCCTAATGCCTATCTTTTTGCCTTTAGTATGTAACACGGCTAAAGAAAGAGATTGCTGAAAGAGCGATTTACTTGAAAGACAGTAGGAAAGTGAACAGATGTAGAAACATGGTTCAGAAAATTTGCAATTAGGCTTTCTTTGCTTGAGGCTTTGGGATAGAGAGTACCCTTCCTAGAGGGTGGCTCATCATCCTAAAGTGATCTCTAAGTGTAAATTTTTGGTTGTTCATGGTAATTCTTCACGGTTTACCAAAAAAAAAGGTAGCATGGCTCTTTGTTTGTTTAGCTATAATTTGATAAGATTACAAGGCTCTCGATTAATCTGTTAGGCTGTAGTTCAATAGGATGTGTTAGAAAAGATAGAGTAGAGTCCTTGCGTTTCCTGGAGATTGTTCTTCTATTCTTGAAAGAGTGAGAATTTAGTCTCTCGATATCTTTTCTTGTTGTGCTTGTTGAATTGCTTCGTTATTTAGACTTCCCTTGAGATTATGTTGTCATTATTATAATATTTTCTTATATTGTTTCTATCTTTCATATCTATTATCAGGAAGTTTGTTTATTTCATAACAAGATCTTTTCCTTACCTGTTCACCTCTTCAGTAGATCCATTTCACTTTTCTGTTTCTTTGTTAGGGGATGGTTGGTTGGGGCAATCTGTCATAATCAATCTTTGTATTTGGTCAAACTAATTAGCCTATCTCTTCCTTTTTTTCTGGATTCTAGGTGATATTCATGGACAGTATGGTGATCTTCTGAGGCTTTTTGAATATGGTGGATTCCCACCCCAGTCCAATTATTTGTTTTTAGGGGACTATGTGGATCGTGGCAAACAGAGTTTGGAGACTATATGCCTTCTACTTGCTTACAAAATTAAGTACCCAGAGAACTTCTTTCTGTTAAGAGGGAATCATGAGTGTGCTTCTATTAACCGGATATATGGATTTTATGATGAATGTAAGCGCCGATTCAATGTGAGGCTGTGGAAAGTCTTCACTGATTGTTTCAACTGTCTTCCCGTGGCAGCTCTTATAGATGATAAAATACTTTGCATGCATGGTGGTCTTTCTCCTGATCTAACAGACATGGATCTGATACGAAATTTACCTCGTCCTACAGATGTTCCAGATTCCGGTTTGCTTTGTGATTTACTTTGGTCAGATCCTAGTAGGGAAGTTAAAGGTTGGGGAATGAATGACAGGGGCGTCTCATATACCTTTGGTCCTGATAAAGTGGCAGAGTTCTTGATGCAACATGATATGGACCTTGTTTGTCGTGCCCATCAGGTACTTCTGTTTGATTTGTGGTTTTCTCTTTTTCTAGTATTGAGTTATTTACTAGGATATTTCTTACCTAGGTTGTGGAGGACGGCTATGAATTTTTTGCTGAAAGGCAGCTAGTTACAGTATTTTCTGCACCAAACTACTGTGGGGAATTTGATAATGCTGGTGCAATGATGAGTGTGGATGAAAATCTGATGTGCTCTTTCCAGATTTTGAAGCCAGCAGATAGGAAACCTCGGTTCTTGTGAAGCAAAAGGTCATAGCTTATGTATGTGCTCTCCCGGTGGAACCTAAGGTTTGTGTACGTGCCGCTTTGTCATTTATTCCATGACAATTCCAACTTGATTCTCTGCAATGATATTGTGAATCAACCTCTGTTTTGGATTGATCTTTTTTATGTGCCATAAAACTAAATGCCTATGCTGATATCATGGTATCCATACATATGAGGGTTGCAAAGAGGTCTGCCATGCATTTCCCCTTTTTTCTAAAAGATATGTTTATGGGTTGCGCTGGTCAATTCCCAAACCCTTCCAAACAGATTGTATGTTAGTTGTTGATATAATTTGCTTTGTAGTTCATTCATATTGACTATTCTTTAGCTGGCGAAGTCCATCTGTTTTAAGACCTAAATCTTAACCGTGTGTAGTGACACCATTTATGTGGCTTGGTTTACTGTCATTAGTACCTAAAGCTTAACTAAACGTAGTGATTGTATTTAGTATCATAATGTTGTTCTGCACTTTTCACACTTCATATTCCAGCAATCCTTGGTTGTTCTGCATTTTACACACTTCATATTCCAGCAATCCTTTTAAACGTATCTTTATCAATACCAACACTTCTTTCTGCTCATCTCCTTGCAAGTCAAGATAGAATGCTACTCCCTCAATATCAACAAAGTTACTGAAATAGTTTTCTAGTGGTATGATATCCTCTATCATTGGTTTACGAATAACCACATTTTTTAATGATAAAGTGCTCATATTTCTTTTTCCTAATTTCATATCCAACCTTCATTGGTTCAACATGTGACTGATCGTGTGCTTTAACTCCCCTAAATCTTTTCTAGGGTCTTATGCGAGGAGAATTTTGCGATGAAAATTTTATCTTTTCCCTTTCCTTTCAGAACGCTCTTTTAACAAAAAGCAGATAAACACTCTAAAAACCAGGTAATTATTAAAAACACTTCAAAATACTTGAATAAAAATTGTGTTGAGCGTTGGGAAATTTAGAAGTTATGCTTCAAAGTGATCTCTTTCCTTTCTCATTTCGTTATCTCCCTATCATATTTTGGAGTGCACTATGTTGTCTCGCATAATCATACGTTTATCCTTCTCTATTACTTCCTTGATTAAACTGAATTTTAAGTTACCAACCATCTATTTGTAGAACTTATATGATTATGTAAAATGACACATAATATGTCAAAGATTGTTGGCTGAGCTGTCAAGCTTCTCCGTGGATGAGAACTTTTATGTCCTTTTCCTAAAATTGCAGTTGATTTGTTGATTTTGTTTATAAGCAAAACCTATGGACCACCTCCTTTCTCAACATAAATTCCGGGCTTAGTTTACATAGTGAGTCTTAATTTTTCATCAATTGAACTTAATGCATTACTTTGTTAGCAATATTTATGTTGTAGTACTGTTCTCTTCTAGATAGCATCCGTGGGCAGGCTCACTCCATAGTGCCCAGTGACTTCACTCAAGTGTTTGTCCTGCCTGTGCTACTCCAAGTTTCAGGGCGCGTCTCAACCGTCCTATATCAACGCTACCTTCTTGAAATACTAATTCTTAGATACCGTCCTTTATCAACACTACCTTTTTAAAATGCTTAATTCTTTGTGAAGTCAATCTCACATAACTATATTATTACAGCAAGAGAAGTTTCTAATTCAAATTCCTCTTCATTTTACGTAATCTCTCTAGAAATGATGCTTTACCATGCCAGTGAAATCATGGATTAAAATTTAAATCGATGGTTTATTTCGTTAGGTCTATATTGAGGTGTACTTTTGTATTGTTGATCACTTCATCCTTGAGCATGACTATTTCTCAGGTATTTTATTTTATTTAAGTCGTAAGGGTTTGTTCTTTTTTCAGTAATGTGAATATTGTACGGTGTGCTCCTGTTTGCGTTATATGAGCAAAATATTCTTAATTTTCATTCCCTTGATTTGCCACCTCTTCAGCCCATCAAAACATTTTTCCAGCTTTTGCATAGATGTATGCTCAAAATTTTCTGTAATTTGGTTATTTTTCGCAGAAATTCCTTATGTGCTGGGAAAAGAGCAGTTGAAGATGCTGGCTTCTGTAATGTTTGTCATACAAGCATGCTTTCCAATGGGAAAGCAGTTGGTGGTTCAGTACAAGGACCATGAAGATTGACATTAACTGTACTAGTTTGAATACTTTTCCTCTGTTTTTCCTTGGTGGGTCGTTTATCCTTTTTTATATTTGCTCGTGCAATCTATGATTTGACGTGTACATACATTCTCTTTGTAATCTCAGTTTCAATTTTTCTAGTTTACTCCTAATTACTATATTGTAATCCGAATGGTTTGCTAGTTTCTACTTTCACTGTCTTCATGAAATGATGGGTTTTTTGAGAAAAAATTGTTTTACTGATTACTTCTAATTATACGGCCAACAAAAAAGGAAATATAATAGACGGTTACTTGCACCATAGTTTATAATATGTAGATTATCTATTTTAATTTATTATTAACATTCGTGAAAAGATAAACTATATCTAAATTTAAATATTAAAAATTTATTACTATAATTCTCAAATTGAAAAAACCGAGATTGACAAAACAATTACTCTTATTTATTTAAAGGAGATTCTATACATTGATTATCTAGAAAAAAGTTGATTAAAATATATTTTATCTGATTACTTACAATGTATGTGAGCAACCATTATGTTTCCTCTATTATGTGATTGTCTTCATATCCTTGACCGTATATGAATCACATCATACACAAATGAAGACTCATTTAAGTTAATATTTTTCTTTTATTTTAAGCACTAGAGACATATAAAAAAAAATCGTGAAAAAATATGTTGATGGTGCTTCATTGAAAAATCATAACAACACATAAATGATATAGAAAGTTCTTTATTATTTCAGAATAAACTTTTGTAAAAAAATTTGAATGAAAAACATTCACAGTTCTTCGATAAAAATGATAACATAAATTTGTCAAGCATGAAGTAGATCAAAATTTTATCATGTATGTATATTTTTCGTTATTAGCATTATTTGTTGTTATAATATCATGTAGACATAATTGTAGTCACAATATTATTAATTTTTAGCTCACAAATTAGCATTTTTTGAAACTAATTAGGAATTTTTAAAATTAAGTAATTTTATTGCATTTATTATATAAATAAATTTAAATTACATTTTACATATTTTTTTTAAATATAATATAAAATAATTTAATAATAAAACTCAAAATACTTTAGAATTGATAGACATTAACACGTGAAAGAAATAACAAAAATCATATGATTCAAAAAAGACAATCCTATTTAATAACAACTCAAGATAGTTAAAATATTAAACTACATATTTAAGTATCATGTTTAATTGTTATACTTTAAAAATTAAACTACATAATCAAAGATTAAACTATAATATAATTATTATGTTTAAAAAATTAAACTACATATTTTTATATGTGTCGATGTCTATCAATTTTAACGTAGTTTGAATTTTGATTATTGTTATTGAAATGTTTTTTAAATTATATTAAAAAAAATATTTTTATATATATTATAAACATTAATTTTAGTTGTCTCTTATAGTAGAAAATTCTATATTAAATGAATTAAAAATGTATATCCTGATCATTTATTTACACATATTAAACCAATTTGTAATTTAATATAGTACCCTGCATAAAATACATCTATTACAAAATATTACAATTGAGAAATAGGCATTGAGTGATCCTTTATTTATTTGTGTTGAAACATCCTCTTAATTAATATTATTAGAGTAACTGAATTTTTTATTCATAGTTAAAATTAGTGAAATAATATAACTAATTTCTATGTATGTTAAATCTTGATTGGAATGATTATAATATAAAAATTCATGTGTTATTCATGACATTATCATCAATATCTTTTAGAAATATCTAATTTTCAAAATAACATTATTTTTTTCTCTTGATATACATCCATTCGTAATTAGTATTACTGAGAAATTTAGTTGTGTTTTTCAATAAATAAATTTATTTAAGCAAAAAAGGAAAAACTTTTCAATGGTATTCATTGGTACCTTGTGAACATAATTGAGCACAGGGAAGGGATAGAGGAGAGAGAGTAGATTATGTATATGTAGAACATAACTTGTATGGTATATAATGAAAATAAAATATTATTGTATAAAAATAAAATTACAAAAAAAATTAAACTAAAGATTACATTTTTTTTTATTAACTGAAATGATATTTATTTTTAAAAATAAACTGCATGAACTATACACACATGCAAAAAAGATATACAAAAAAACGTTTTTCTTTTTCCTCGGCAACCAAATAGTTTGTGTTTTAGTAGTTCAAGGAGTTTGAGAAATAGAAAATAGTTAGTTTTGTTTGGAGGGAAAAGTATGTAAAAATTGAAAGAAGGATACTATAGTCATTTTATATTTTTGGCCAAATTTTTCTGTTCATTTTTAGCATTACTTTTCCCTTTTTATTAGAAGACTGTTTTAAAACTAGACAGATAAGACATGTTCATCATTTTTACAATTTCTTAGTTGTCCATTGAATTTGAGAACAAACAAACAAATATCGGAAATGTAAAAAGATGACCTCACTCTAGTTATCAGAAATATTCTGTCGTTAAATGCAGAAATACTATAGTAATAGTCAACCAAAACAAACCTCTTCCACTTTTTCTTCCAGCCTTTGTGATTGTCTTGGTTAGGAACTTGGCGAGAATTTTGCTGATTATGTGGTGAATTTGGCAAGTGTCTTCTCTCTTCAAATTAGTACTATATATAGCCATGAAGATTGTACTGAGTATTTACAATAGGCAAGTTGTTATCAATGAAGCTAATCACTTTTTTTGCCTTGTTTTTCCTGCTACAAAGCACTGCTATTTTTTCTTTTGTTGTTGCAGATTATTCTATAGCAACATCACAATATGGTGGTAACACTCCTCCACCTGTTACTAGTCAACCACCACCTTCTCATGGCCATCAACCGCCGAGTGCTCCGGGGCAAGCTCCACCACAACATTCTCATGGTCATGTACCACCATCTGTTGGTAGTCCTCCACCGCCGTCTCCAATGATTTCTTCACCTAATCCCCCACCCTCTCATGGACATGGACCACCTTCTAAAGGACATGCGCCACCTGGAGGATATCATCCACCTTCACCCCCAAGTCATCACGGGCATCCTCCACCATCAACACCAACACCAACTTACTCTCCTCCTCCTCAAGTGCAACCTCCATATTCACAACCATCGGCGCCACCACAATCACCACCCTCACATGGACATGCACCACCTCCTAAAAGGCACACACCACCTGGAAGACATAATCCACCAAGCCATCATCAACCTTCACCTCCCAGTCATCATGGACATCCTCCCCCTAAACATTTACAACCCCCACCAACTCCAATTTACTCACCTCCTCCTCAAGTTCAACCTTCACCTCCGTCTTATTCACCTCATCCACCTACATACTCACCGCCATCACGCTCGCCACCTTCACATGGACATGCACCACCTCCTAAAGGGCATAAGCCACCTGGAGGACATCATCCGCCTTCACCTCCGAGCCATCATGGACATCCTCCACCAACGTACTCGCCTCCTCTACCAACATACTCGCCGCCGCCACCTCCGCTAACATACTCTTCTCCCCCTGCACCAACGTACTCCTCTCCTCCACCTACACATTCTCCATCACCACCTCCGCCAACGTACTCTTCTCCTCCACCTGCACAATCATCACCACCTCCACCAACATATTCCCCTCCTCCACCACCTCCACCATCATACACTCCTCCTCCACCTGCACAATCACCCCCTCCTCCACCATCATACTCCCCTCCTCCACCTGTACAATCACCACCACCTCCACCATCATACTCTCCTCCTCCACCTTCACAATCACCACCACCTCCACCCGCACAATCACCACCACCTCCACCTTCACAATCACCACCACCTCCACCAATATATTCCCCTCCTCCACCTGTACAATCACCACCACCTCCACCAACATACTCACAACCGCCACCTCCGTCGCCACCACCAGTTTACTCGCCTCCACCACCATCATCCCCTCCTCCATCTACATATTCACCACCACCACCGACTTCTCATCCTCCACCGCCAACACATTCGCCTCCTCCCCCTGCTTACTCTCCACCACCACCACCGACTACATATTCCCCCCCTTCTCCTCCATATGGTCTTTCACGAAGCACTCCATAACACTGTTCACCTGACCAGTAAGTCAGCCACTTTTTACGCACCATGGCCTATCGCCACCACGTATCTCAAATACTCCATAAGAGTTGCATTAGGTTACTAGTTGCTCTTTAGATTAATAAAAATGGTATGCTTTGTTTCTCATGTTGTCTCACTAAAGCAATTATATAGTGTTTAATAGTAGTTTTTTTTCTTATTGTAAGAGTACAACTTTTGGATATCATATCATGTTATATATTTCAAGTTTTGTTTAATCATTGGTTAAAAGTATTATATATTTGTCCAATGCGTTGGTCATGGAGGAATAAATCATATAACCACTAAATAGATAGAGGATATTTCTTTTAAAGAAAAATACAGTGTTATGTTTTCTTGAAACTATTAATTAAAAGTATATGTGTTCGATTTAATCTGAATTACTATAAAACTAAATGAAACTTTTTATCGATTATTTAAAGATAAGTAATCAAGTAAATGCACATATTAATTTGTATCATCACTACTTATTTAGCATACAAAACTAAATGAAATGTTTTGAGGACTTTTTCTAAATAATCAATGCTCCTGCATAAAGCGAAAGTAAGTGTGAAATTAGGTCTGAGGCTTAACTCATGAAGTATTTATCAAACTAAGCCATTATATAAAGTAATTTACCAAAATAATATGTTTTTTAAAAAAATTTACAAAAATTAATATAAACGTATTTCACGGTAACGTTGTAGGCTATATTTTATTTTTTAAAAGCTGACGATGTCAGATTGATATACGTTACTCACAGTAAGGTTTTAGGAGTAAAATGTTATTGTGAAATACGTTTATATTAGTTTTGTAAAATTTTTTAAAAATGTATTATTTTAGTAAACTATTTTATATGATTTAGTTTGGTAAAAAATTCTATAACTCAAAGGGAGGAGGAAGGCGAAGCCTTATAAGGTGTCTCATTAACCACCGATGTGGGACTTTTGTCACCCAACATCGGGTGAGATGGACATTGCTCTGATACCATGTGAAATTAGGTCTTACGCCTAGCTCACACCACAATAACTAGCTCAAAGGGAAGAGGATTGTCCAAACCTTATAAGGAGTCCACTCATCTCATAAAACACCGACATGAAACTTTTATCATTCTTTAACATGCCTAACATCAATATTAAAAGAAAGTTCATTATTGAGAATCATATTTGTTTAATTTATTTAGCAGAATTATCACTAAAAATAACATAATGCTATAAATAAAATGTTCACTGTATGGTGACAGTTCAGGTGGTTTACATTTATTTGAGAAATAAAAATTCTAGAATTGGTATTTGCATTAAACTGCATTAATTTAAATAACATTTGTTCTCTTTTAATTATAGACATATTTTTAAATGAACAAAATTTATTCATAATCAGATATTTTGAAAATAAACTTTTTTCTATAAAAAGACGTTTTCTAATTAAATGAATTTTACGAGATACACAGATAACAATTAAAATAATTAAAAGAGAATTAGATGAGTGGCTGAATTGGTAGCATCGTGTGTATGAAAAGTTGAAAGGCACATGTGGTTGTCTCTGGATCAAGTAGTTGGCCGTGAGCAAATATTCGCTGACAGTCTGTCTTCATCTTCGTGGAACCCACTTTACTCTCTCTAGTGCGCCTCTATTAACACCTGCCCTATATACTCTCTCTCTCTCGTAGTTTCTACTTCCAGAACTCATCTCTCTCTCCGGCAGGCCGGCGATTGGGTCAAACCTCATTGTTTGACCATGGCATCCATGATTGAATCTGCTTGGACGGTAAGACTTCTCTACATTCGATGTTTATTAGCCCTAAATTGGAGTGAATCTGCTTTTAGTTTAACTGTATTTTGAGGTTGACGCTTTAATTTTGTGGATCTACCTGAGTAGCCGATGTTGAGAATCTGTATGTTTGTGCATGCTGTTTGCTGCATGAGTTGTACATTGATGAGGCGGATTGGCACATCATTGTTTAATTCGACCGTTAACCTTTTTTTTCTTATATAATTTTGGTGTCTGAGTAAGTTTAGGTGTAGTCAACCAATTTCACATGATAGCAACTGTAATTCTGTCCGGCAAGTCTAGAACAAATGAGAAAAAAATCATTTAGTTTAAATTGTCTCTATGGGGATTTAGACTTGAGACTTGATGGTTTTCAAGTCACTTTATGATTACTAGGCCAAATCCTTGGGTGCTTTGCATATATAAACAATAAATAGTTTTGACTATGATTTATAAGTTCATCTCTCCACGCATATGATTTGATTGTTGACAGAATCTCCTCTGTATTTTTCCTTTTTTTAATTTTTAATCAAGGTTTTGGATTCTACTGAAGTTGATTGTTGAAGGTATAGTATGAGAAGGTGGTTAAGATTTAGTCGTTTTAGGCATTTCTGGAGCTTACTGATATTTTGTTGGGTAGTTGTCCTTCATTTTTTTCATATCCTTTCTCTCCCTGTCAGATAGCTAAGTGTTCTTTCCGTACAAGTATTAATTAAAAAAAGTAGGCGGTAAAACTTTAGGGGAGAGAGTTAATAAAGACTGATTTGGATTAGTGAGCCAAAAGGACACATGCTGGATTAGTAACAGGCATAACAAATAAATGAACAGCGTGAAGCACCATCAGAAAGCGAGTGCCTGGTGAACTTGGAGCATTTGGAGCTCAAACTGTGACCAGTTGTTGTTTTATTGTTGTAATAGGTTTGTGAACGAGCTGAAGTTGGATCAAACATAGCTGGAGTGTTCCGTTCTGTTTGTTTAGAAATTGTGGGAATCACAGCTAGATCAGGGGTAACAGCATGAAGTATGGTTGATCATCCTGCATAAGTGTTGGGTTAGTTTGAATATAGCTATTGAAACATACGTAAAAAGTTAATGATGAGCTATCTCATGCGGTTAACATTTATGGAATTTAGTAGTTTACCAAGAAGGTTTTGGGGGGAATTAACTAAGCATGGCAGTTTTGACGGATAATCAAATTTTTGTCTGACCAATGTCCAAGACATATCTCACTTATGAAGAATTCTCGAACTTCTTCTGGTTTGCATTAAGGAAGCTGTGAAATGATGGGAACTTGACAAGACTCAAACTAAGGCTACAGCTTTTTTTCTAGAACTTAGAAGGCTGTTTATCAATTGCAACTTAGGAGGCTGTGTATAGATTGCGAGATTGACAACGTAAATTGAATTCTAGAGGGTTAAATGGCTTCCAATTCTGATGTCCGAAAGTGGATTCTCTAACTTAAAAATGTACGAAGTATGGAACATGGCATCCATGTCTTACTATCAAATTCTTGCAACCAATAAAGAATTGAAGAGAAGATCAAGGCCATGTATAGAACTATAGTTCTGTGAAGGTGTCTTATAATGGACAGACGGAGCACTATCTGAAGCAATTATGATCAGTAGAACATTAGAGGAAGACCTTGGTTAACAAATGTTTCATTCTTGGAAAGTCATGAAGATTCAGTTTCCCACCTGCTGATGCATTCACTGAAACAAATGAAAATGGACCATTCTCCAGGTTTTATCTGGAACAATTTGGATTTATAGTGCATACTGTTATAGTGGTCAGCTTCTTAAATAGGTCCCATGGTCTGGAAGTCTTCTCGAAATTTCCGGGGAGCTGCTCTGTTATGGTCTGTTTAGTTTCCTTATCAACTTTTTTTTTTTTTATGTGTGTGGTGGGGGGGGGGGGGGCTGAGAATTTGATGGTTATTTGGCTACGTTCAAAACTAGGGGTAGTGTGGGTCCACCCATCGGCCCTGCTTCCCCTTATATACCAGGCTCTAGTCAGTGTCAGAATTCAGTGACATGCACTAACGTCACGTCCCATGGTATTGCAATTTCAGACAAAAGAAAAAAACAGGGTGAAGCAATGAACTTCTAAGCCCTGTTAAGTGTTTTCTTTTCTCTTTTCCATTTCAAAGACCACTTCTCCCAGTAGAGTTTGATTGCAAGACATCCTAACATAAAAGCACCTCTTAGAGGTTATTTTTTTCCTTGGTTATCAAATCACTATTAATTTTACTTACAGCTGTCTGCTTCCATATTTGCTTGTTATATAATGTTGCCATAGTCAACTTTGCAGTTTGATGTTCTTTTCCAATTAAATGAAATTCATGTGTCTGTATTGCATCATTATGAGTAGTTACGAAGTGATAAATACCTGAGCCTCTTTTTTTTATTCGTGATGTTTCAGTATCTGATTACAAATTTCAATGACTTCCAATTGGCTTGTCTTGGAAGTTTCTTTCTTCATGAAAGTGTCTTCTTCTTGTCTGGACTTCCTTTCATTCTTCTAGAAAGGGCAGGATGGTTGAGCAAATATAAAATTCAGGTATCACTTTTTTACTTTATTAAGTGAATTACAAGGATTTATCATTTTTCTTCATTAAACATTCTCAATTTGTCTCGGTGTCAATTATGTGCTGTCTGCTCAAAAACATTTTTGTTTTTCTTCTATTGAAATTCTTAGAGCGGGACAGATCTTAAATAAGAAGGAAATTTCTCTTAAAATGTTCATATTTAAGTGAAACATATTTTGCATCTTCATGCATCTATAGTGTCTAACATAAAGTGTCTGTCCTTTTTCTCGCCAACGGCCAAGTGTATTGCAGCATAGCACTTAAGAAAGGAGATTATTGATTTAACCTAGAAATTTGCTACTGTCTATATGTTGTATGACAAAAGCACTTTTTTCATCCATTTTTGCTCTTCTTCCTGCATAAAAAGTTATCAAGGACTTCATATTTTGTATCAACAATTAAATTTAGAGTATTCGATGACTTTCTTAAAAGTATAATTTCATATTGAAAGCAAATAGTTCTGACAAACATTCAAATTCTTCCGGAAGCTGATTTTTTTACCATTTGACTTTCTTTTATCTTTTCTAACTCTCTCACATTAGAACCTGTTTTTTCCCCCAAAGCTGATAGTTAATATGTCTTCTGATGAAGTATTTTTGACCTTGTCTTACTGAATCTCAATAGTAGAATTCCTGACCTCTCATTTGTTGCAGACAAAAAATAATACTCCTGCAGCTCAGGAGAAATGTATCACTCGCCTGTTGCTGTATCATTTTTGTGTTAATCTCCCGCTTATGATGGCATCCTATCCAGTCTTCAAATTAATGGGGATGCGAAATACTCTTCCGTTGCCGTCCTGGTACTTTCAGGTTCTTTATATACTAAAGCTTAGCAGTGACATCTGTATATGATTATCTTAAATTTTGGTGGTGATGACAGATCCGCAAAATTTTGTCAGCTGCCAAATATATTTCTTTTGTCTTCTAGTCTTTTGACTTAATTCTATCTGTTTTTGTTGGGGTTGTCATGAGGTATCGAAGGTGTTTTATGTTTGTTTATTGATGTCTTGGGAGTGAATTGTGAATATTTTGCTTCTGTAGGAAAGTGATCTCTACGCAAGTATTATTCTACTTTATCCTGGAGGATTTTGTATTCTATTGGGGACACAGGATTTTACATACTAAATGGCTCTACAAGCATGTCCACAGTGTCCATCACGAGTCAGTGAAGAGCATTTTGTTTTCAAATCAATATTTCATTTCTGTTTTTTGGGCCCATTCCTTCACATCTGATGTTTGTTTTATCCACAGGTATGCAACACCATTTGGATTGACCTCTGAATATGCTCACCCTGCTGAAATTCTTTTTCTTGGATTTGCTACAATAGTGGGTCCAATCATTACTGGGCCCCATTTGATAACATTATGGTTGTGGATGATAGTTAGAGTCCTTGAGACAGTTGAAGCACATTGTGGTTACCATTTCCCATGGAGCCTATCAAACTTCTTGCCATTATATGGGGGGTCTGTACACAAATTTACTCTCAGAGAACTGTTAGTTCATTTGTCTACATCAACTATATGTCTGAAACTGCTACTTTTGTTTCCCAGGGCTGATTTTCATGATTATCATCACCGACTGCTCTACACAAAGTCTGGAAATTATTCTTCAACATTTGTTTACATGGACTGGTAATTCTCTACTATAAACTAACAATGAGAAAGTCAATTTCGTGTTTGAAATGCTACTAAATGCTGAAGATCATTTTGTGTGGTAGTGTTGATTATATAGCCAAAATTCAACTCCTCTGTTTTACCAGAATCAAGAACATTTACCTCACCTTGGGAGTTGATTAGGGGTGTCAAAAATGAACCCGAACATGGGTAACCCGCCCAAAATTTCAAAGGTTGGGCTCAAGATAATTTGAATAGGGTTCAACATCAACCCATTCAAGTCTAACCCATTTGAAAAGAATTCTCAGTTGAGCCCAATTCGATCTCCAATTACAACCCGTTTTAAGATTTTTTGTTAAGATATGTTCATATATTAAATGTATGAATTATTATCTATTTAACATCTTATAGGATTTATCTATCCATTTGTTACTTTTTTAACAAAAAACTTGAGCAAAAATTCAAATTGTGATTGTAAAAGTTAAATATCAATATGTTAAATTATTGAGATTAATGGGGTCAAATTGGACGGGTCAAGACCCAACCCATTTTTTTAGGTTATTTGAGCCCAACCCGTTTGAACCCAATTTAAATTTGAATGGGTCAGGACCCAACCCAATTTCTATTTCAATCCCTTTTAATATTTTCAATTTCAACCCAACCAGCCCATTTGACACCCCTACAGTTGATCTTTGTTGTCGCACAACCCCTCCGGAAAAAGAAATAAATAAGAAAAGAATGTATAAAAAATAGAAGAATAGCAAAATATGGTGAAGGTCTGAATTTTCTAAGGGTTGTTTCTCCTTTCTTACAAGTTCTACTTGATGCTTCTCCTTATTGAGCAAGCCCCTTAGGATAACCCATGATTGTTTCTGAACAGTCATAAAGTTTCTGAGAGCATGGCAATGCCTCAAATTTGATTAGCCCTTCAATATATTTTTTTTCTAAAGTTCTAAAATCAAAAAATTTAAATTGGAATTGGTAAGCAAGAAAATATTACCTTTGGGCCCTTAACTTGAATTATGCAAAACCAAAAAATCAGTGAGGTAGTTTACCCTCAAAACAAGTCAGAAACCTTTGCATTTAGTATTGAACACAGTTGAGTAAATTGTGTAGAAATATAGTGAATAAAATGGCAGAGTTGGGTCTCTGGAATTGTAGTAGTCAGGCTTAACAGTTGTAAAGCAGCACTTGATTACCTTGTGTGTTCGCAGAAATATGAGAAGTTGTTATGCAGTTTCAGTTTCTTGAAACTAAAAGAGAGCATACTGTTGACAGAAATGTGTCTTGCCAGGCTAACAGAAGAGTATCATAGAGCCACAAAATTCTTTTAGGAGTTGGCATGAATATGTCAACACAATTCTGATGAAGCCTTGAGACAAAGACATTGGAAGTATTGGACATCATTCTCTGTACTCGTTTTTCATCATGACTGCTAATCTCAATCTCAGTGATGTATCTGATAATTTTTGGAAGTTTTCATTTTTTATTTCATTGCCGAATTGAATAAAAGTTTGAGGTATCATGTCGTGTGTGAATAATTTGATGGATCTCTTTCTTTTTTAGGTTATTTGGTACTGACAAGGGTTACAGAAGATTGAAGGTGCTGAAGAGTGATGCATGTGAAGCTGAGGGTAAAGAAATGTAGAGATGTGAAAGGGTAAGTTTTGGCTGGTCTGGCATTGCAAGACGGGCTTATGTACAAGAGCGTATAGGTGAAGGTTTCTGTTGTTGATACCTCAGTTTTATGTGCTTGTGTTCGATTGTAGTTATGGCATGAACATCATCTACTTTGTAGTGTCATCTTAGAAATTAGAAGCAAGTCTTGGAAAATTTCTCCTTGCAAATGTGCCTGCCTTTGTTTCGGCTATTTACGTTATTCAAGTTCCATTATTTACATGTTTCTTCTCATTGATGGGTGACCTATATTGGAACCAACTTAATCTGATTTTTGTGATCTCAACTACAATGCCCTGAATCTGTCGGTTAATATACTGGTCCTTGGAGTAGTGAAAACAATCTTTCATGTCTAGAGAAAAAAGTTGCTAGTCATTATTACCTCTTTCCTGTTTTTACTTCTCTGAAGTTTTATTCTTTGCTAAGTTCAGAATCGGCAGGAAGCTGAGGAAAAATATTATTTACTTCCTGCTTTCCCAGTTAATATGCAAAATCTTGAGCTCCAACTTCCATTCATTATGGTTTGGTTTTGCTTGTACCGCAACCATTTTACTGAACATTACTTTGAAGTAGTTTGTGTTTCTCTTGGACTGGACTGGTCAATGGAACCTCTGGGATAGTTGCTGAAATCATTTAATGTTAATGCGTCAACTATTTCACTGAAATATGCACTTTATCTGTGTATGAAGTAAAACTATTGAAGTTTCAAATGAAGAATATAGTGATTGGCCGGTTATTCATCACGTGCGGCTTTAATTAATTCCACATATCGTATCCTCTCAATAGATCTGAATGAATTATTTTCTTCTGTTCAATTTGTAAATGACCACGAGTATATAATCATCATGTTTGCATGAACAATTACTGGGTACATTAAGAAACTGGTCTCTCACGGCAACTACAAAACCAAATATCACATGGTGTACTAAATGGTTGTTTTGTTACATTATTAGACTTTACACGCATCCAATTTTCTTTACTTTGCCAACTCAAAAATATGTTGTTTTGGTCATAAGATTGAAAAAGAAAGAGCCCCACCCCGCCAAAGAAAATATTAGTTGTGTGAATAAGGCTTGTAACAATCCAAGCTACGTGTAATGCATAAGTGAGAGCGTGTAGCCAAAAAATCAACATCACTATCCTGGGGACCCTAAAGAAAGGAGAAGTTTTAACATTCTTCATATATCATAAAGAACTTGTAGGCTGTTGCCAAATGGTGGAGACCAAAGTTAATGAGAGAGAATTGTACAGGAAAGTTGTTCTATTGGGACAACTAATTTGGAACTTTACTTCGGTGTTATCTTTAGGCTACGTATAAAATTGACTATAAATTTTATAATTAAATTACATTTATTTGATAATTCATTATATAAAAATATTATAAATTACCATCCAGATCATTTAACTCGCCGGAGGGAGCATCAAATTCATTAGAATTAACAGAAATAGACGTACCACACTTAAAAAGATACTAATGATAAACTTTCACTCTTCGCGTATTTTTATTTTGGCATTTGTAAACTTGATAATTGAAATTATAGTCTTAATCTGTACATACTAAATCCCTTGGATAAGTTAAAGCAGTGCAGAACAAGGTTAACAAAACCTAAAACTCTCATTTGAGGAATCCCCTCTTTTCCCCAAATCATTTTTTTCCAATTTCAACCGTCTAAAGAACTAATCTAAAAAACTGAATACCACCTTAAACACCATCCAAAATAAACACACTAAAATGTTACATAAAAGCGAAAAAAATGCTGCAAAAAAAAAAAAGGTTTTAATGCTGTCTACTTGTAGTTCTTCAAATCAACCACGACAACGCTGACGTTGTCGTAGCTCCGCCTAGCAAGGGCTAGTTTAGTCAAAAGCATCGATGCATCAGAGCAACACTGGTCGGAATTCACCTCGCCGTCGGTTCCATTTCCCGGCATTGACGCCGGCGATGCATTCCCTTTCAGGCACATTCCGGCAACGCCACATGCAGTGTCGTTTGAGACTACGTCCCATAATCCGTCACTTGCTAAAATCAAACAGTCATCCTCCGACGTTCGATCAGTTATCGTCACTTCTGGCTCGCAGATCACATACGGCTTCAAATAATTATCACCTGCATATATTTTACACACATTCGTAAGTATCATCATATCCGATTCAGTTATCAAAGCAAAAGAGAACTCGAACGCTCATTTTAATTTTCGATGTGACATTCGGCATTGCTCTTCTCAAATTCCTGAATATGTCTTCGAAGAAGGGTCAAGTTCATTTTACTTACCAATGGCTCTTGACATAGCCAAAACGCCTGAAACACGAGGGCCGTCCCAGTAGATTACTCTGCCACCAGCTTCCTGGATGCGGTTAAGTTCATCCGGACGATCCGGCTGAAAGGTAACATATACACAAAAATTAATTATAGATCAAGCGATTTTGATTTTATCTTTGTATTGGACGAGGGATTTACTTTTTGATCGTTAGAAAGGGGAATAGCTTTGCCATTCCGGCAAAGAATAGCTCTGGAATCACCACAATTCGCGACAATAATCTTGTCCGGCGTAACAACGGCGACTACCGCCGTTGAACCAACGGCGTCACATTCCGGCGTATGAAGTTCGCAACGGCATGTGGCTCCGGTTACGCTCTTGTTCCATTCAATCACTTCTTTCTCCATTCGATTGAAGCTTCGGTTCATTAAATGCTCCCACTCTTCATGATCTCCTTCTGTGTTCTCCAGCTCCTCCTTCACCAGCTCGTGTAACCTCTCTTTACACTTGGTCGCCACCTACAAAATCACACAAATATATACACTGCCCACAACTTATATAATTAATAAGCTGAAGACGTAAAATTGTCGGCAGGGGCGAGGTTGTAGCATTAAATCAACGAGTTGAACTCAATCCAAACAATTTGTGTGAGATTATTAGTATTATTGAGCTTTGATTCCATAATTGTGATGAATTTAGTGATGAAAATAAAGATTGATCCGTGAAGTTTAAATCCTGAATCTGCCAGTATGCATGAGTTAAATTCAAGAGGGAGTTGAGTAATTCAGTTATTAACATACATGAGAGCAGCCATGACCATCGTAAACGGCAAAGTAATGTAATTCTCCACTGTTTCCTTGTTCCATTTGGCAAAATGAAGGATGAATTGCGACTGCATCTTCCATATCTCTTCTCCTTCCACAAACAGAGGCGAAGCCAAACTTTGGGTAAGCCACTGATTGAACAAGGAGAGTAGAATTCAAAGGACCCAAATATGGAGTCAAAATAATAGTTGGCGGTGACCCTTTCGTCTCTACTAATCTCAGTTGTTCTTCATCATCGTCGGTGCTAGAACTTTCCACAGCGTTATCACAAATCCTTGAAACAGAACCAGAAATAAGTTTCATTTTTGGACGTTTAATTCCATTCTCTGTTTCGGGTTGCGTTACTCCAGCTATGACCTTTATTTTTCGAAGCTCCATTCTCCTCCTCCTCACCGCCCGTGAACTTGATTCACACGGTGATGATGAATCAGTTTCAGTCACAACTCCAAAACAGACTTCTGCCATTCACACTTTTATAACAAGCAAGACAACTTCAGAAACTGAAGAGGCCTTTAATTTTTAAGTCCTCACTCAGAAAAATATGCAGTTTACAGAACCATTGCCGGAAAAATTAAGTGCAGTAAACACAGAGAGAGAAGAGAGAAGAGAAACGTAGAAATCAGTGGCAGATAATACGAGTACCCCCATATAAAGGAAGTCACTTTCGCTATTCATTTTGTGTGTCATTTTTCTATAGGACGAAAATTTATTATATTTAGAAAATAAACATTCATATTTCTGTGCAATTATTTTATGTCAAATATTACTTCTCTTTTAATTTATTTACCTCGATAAGATTAAGAGAATTAAATTAATCACATAAATTAAGATAGATGAAGGAAAGAAGTAAAATATATTATAAATTTAAATATATAGCATGTATGGATTAAAATGGTAAATATTTGATGCGACTAAAGTTACATCAACAGAAGTATGTAATATACTAATTTGTTAATTAAAGAATATGAGTTTCAGTCTCAAATATAAAAGAAATCTTGATAGATAGTATTTTCTTGAGAATTTCTATTATAGAAAAATCTCACATTTGTAACCACATTATTACTTTTTAAAATTTATTATTCTTGTCAACATAAAATTTATTATTACTTTAAATTTGTATAATGGTAAAGTAGAAATTGATTTGCTGAATATAAATAAGAGCATAGTGAGTAATACTTTTTCGATTATTCATAATTAAAAAAAAATTCTTTCAGCTACATATGTAAAAAGATTACAAAATTGAATGTCGTTTGATAATTACTACTTTTAATATGTTTAATTTTAGCATGAAATCAATGCGTTGAAAATGTATAATCGCACACAAGTGAAATGACGCATGAACCATTAAGACATTGACACACAAGTAAAACAAAGCGTGTATGAACCATTATGCTATTTATACAAGTGAAAAATGTCATAGCTTGAGTGATGAAATATATATGATATATGAATATGAAAATATAGTTACGGATAATATTGACCAACAAATGATTCAAAGTAACAAAGTTGATTCATCTTATCGGTTACATGATTGAGAAATATAAGATCAACTTAAAAAAGTCATTTGTACTATGTGTCAAAATTATATTAAAGATCAATATACTATAATTTATGTTTAATTATTTTTTTATTAAATTAAAGTTAGATAAAACAGTTACTTAAATGAAGAACAAATTAACTTTATAATACGAATTTCTTATGCAGTTAAATAATTTTTTATTTATTTGATAAAATTGAATAAATAATTAAAATTATTTTAAAAATTCTATAATTTATGTATTCCTATATTTAATGAAAATAAAATTTCAATATCGTATATTCGAATAAAACTTTAACCTTATCTCATTATTTTATATTATTATATCATATTAATTTCATATAAGTGAAAATCCTAAAAAGAAGATTACTAACTGCAACACATCATTATAAATTTACGATAAACTAAAACAGTTGTTTCATGTGTTTAAGTGCAGAGGGGCTTAAACCAAAGAATTTGTACACGTATGTTTCCCTTTATGAATTACGATTACATTCGTCTTTTCATATCTAACTCTATTATAAATAAAAAATAAAATAAAAAGGAGGGGGAATGAACATGAAGGTATGAAAAAATTATTTTCTACATGATACGTTAAAGAATTTTTAAGCAAAATAAATATATTGTCAGCAGACCTAACAATTCGTCAAATGTCAATTTGATTATT